ACCGAAGCCTACGCCCCGTGCGAAATAAGCGCACGCTCCGCCGAATCCAACGAGGCGTAAGCCTCAACGCGCAAATGCTTCGCCTCGCCTTAAGTCGCGCCTTAGTGCGTACGCCTCTTCCGCCTTTTTAATCGATGGCTGCGCTACAACGCAAAGTTTCCCATGGAGAGATGATGCATAGCATGCAACGCAGTGTGTCATTTTGAACATGATGCAAAATTAAAAAAAAATAATTATAAAAAATAGGCATTAATATGAAATATCATTAAACTGAAAGATAAACTATCATAATAATGAAAGACAGCTAAAGTCATGCATAAGTTCAAATAGACGACACCTGAATGGTAAAAGCTTATTTCAAAGTCCATCTATGATATCTTATACATATCAGAGGAATTAATAATGACCCCACCCAAGTTACAACAATTAATGCATGGCTAACAAGACGTAATGTTACACTAAGCCAACATTCTCCTACAATCCCACTACTCTAGTAAATGGGCTAGTACAACCCTAATCTAAGTTACAATTATAAATATCAAACAAAGTTAATTGTCTTACGGAATTAAATGTAAAAGCTTAATGTAAAAAATTTGAAGATCCCAAGTTTTTGCTAAAAGAAACAATATAGATTTTTCACAAATGGTGATACAACCAACTAGTTGATCACCTTACAACAATAACACACTTGAAAATTTTGTCGAAATCATAACTCATAATGCATGTTCTACGAGGAAGATTGAAATATGGTTTTATCAAAGTTAATTTACAAAAACACAAATTTAAACAATCTAAACAAATATTTGTGGAAAAATAAATTTTTGTAAATCAAGAATGAATTTCAGCGAAAATGATTTTTGTAAACCAAGAACAGATTTTGGCAAAAATGATTCCAGCACAAATGATTTCAGCAAAATGATTTAAACCCAATGATTCCAATAACTTGGATTTCAGGAAAATGGATTCCAACCAAATGATTTCATCAAATTAGATTACAACTAAAAAATTTCAGCAAAAAATATTTTAGCAAACCTAGACGAACAAGGAGGGGCGAAGAGAAGTAATACCCTATATTATTATTTCTATAATTCATGCGTATCCACTAGCATTTACTTCTAGCTCAAGTAGTCTTTACAAATTTGGTATGGCTAGCATAACTACTTTTCTTTCATAAATACCTTGCTTATTTCTTTCTCAATAAGAGGATTGTATTCTCTTGATTTTGCCCCCGTTTGAGCTTTTAGCATTTAACCTTAGTCAATGTTTTTAAAAAAGTTTGGTATTTAAAACATATGGAATAAACTTGCATAATTAGTGGCAAGCTCTCTAGTCACTGTTAGTGTTTGGGCCTCTTCTTGATTTAGGCCTCGTTTGATTAGGCTTTTTTTTCTCCGTTTCCGTTTGAATAAGCCGAAATCAATTAGTATTTACTGTTTGGAATCAAAGCTTAACAATAATTCCTTTTTAATAAACATCATTTTTTCGGCGGTTACAAAATTCTTTTCGTATCTGCTTCTTCGGTTAGATATCTTATTAAATATTAAAGTATGATCAAAATATGTGATAGCAAAGTTACACACAGCATATGGTTGCAGGACATAGTTCACCAGACCCATATAGGTAGCTAGGGTGTTATTGAGTTTGCATGGAATGACCCACCACTTATATAACTTTGCATTTTCTTGAACGCAATCTTCTCCGTCTATCTCACTTATGCATGCTTGATGCCTATATTTGAGATATAGCTTAGTGAAGATGTGGCATGATTCAGTTAATGATTCAGTTAATCAACAAGGAATTAGTGCATAATAGTAAATAATAGTTCTTTGACATTATTTTATTGAGTGTGGTAGTTTACATTTTTAGGAACTTCATTATATTGTGGTAAGTTTTTCAATATTGCTTGATTTACCCCTTCTATATTTTTGAATATGAAGAACCTTCCATTTAAAAAGATTCGTAGGGCTTACCCTCGATCCTTTATTTTTTTTAATTCTATGGTCATTGGCTTGACATTGGCTCTGTTGAGGAACACAATAGTTTGAATATGAAGAACCTTTCTTTTAAAAAGATTCGTAGGGCTTATCCTTGATCCTTTATTTATTTTTTATTTTTTAATTCTATGATCATTGGCTCTGTTGAGGAATACAATAGGAAAGAGGTGAGTTCATTAGCAAATTGGGTGAAAAATGTAGATGTATACTCTATGAGACTCTAGATATCCATCTTCAAGGTTAAGTCCTAATGTCTTTGCTTGTGTGATGGACTCCATGATCTAATGTAATTGGTCTTTGATGTCGTCTCATATTGTCACTTTTTCAATTTTTCTTAACATAAACCATCATGTTGATCCCTTATATATTTCCAACGCTTGAATTATCTTTGATTATTTCTTGCTTATTGTTACCATTCAAGTAGAAGTTCCAATTTGACAAAACCTGGTGACGTACTTTGAGCCAAGTAAATGCCACTTTGTGATGTGTATTATATCCATGCAAAATGAGGAAGGTCTCTAATTGGTCGGATCCAAACATGACAATTCTCGGAGTAATTGTTTATCATGAATTTGAATTTTTTCTTTTGACTTGCATTTTAAATGGCCAATTATGTCATTTATTCATTATAATGATATTATCATCCTTTTTCTCATTATTTTTTTCCAATTTACCAATATTTACATGCTAGCATTTATTAGTGCAGGTATGGAATCATAAGGGGATTGCAGTTAGGATCGGTAGGATTTGATGTGGTCGTGGTGGATCACATCTTCATCCACTTCCTCATCTTTGTTTTGTTAATCTAATCACTTTTGGCTTAGTTAGAAAATGAATCTTTTTAACAATTTGCTTATTTGCTTCCCTCCTTTTGGTTCTTCATAATTTGGTGTGCATCGAAGTCAAGAAGTGCTTCTTTTGTTTCTTGACAAACCTATTGTTTGTACCATACACCAAGACTGAATGCTCTAAAACCAATTTGATCCCAAGTTGCTCCTTAATTTGAAAAACAAAGTCCATAATTAAGTAGAAGAGGATTAAATGAGTTAAAAATTTTTTCTGTCTATTTTCTCTTCTTGCTTACTGGCAATATGTTCTCTTCGTGTTTGAGTTTCCTTCTACTGGACAACTAGTCATTAACTATTCTTTTTGTTACTTAAAAACAGCAAAATAAACATTTTACCTCTACTATAGATCTTTAACTAGGTGAAAGGTAGCAATGACATTAGGAAGGCTCATTGATAGTCTGTTGCATGTGAAGGAGGCGATTGTAGCAAGCACAAGGAAGAAAGGAGAGGGAGAGAGAGAGAGAGAGAGATTATTTGTGATAATTTGATTTAATCTTATTGCAAGGAAAAAAGGCTTATTTAGACAAATTACAACTTGGATACATTCAAATTTATTCTTTTTCTCTGTAACCATCTTAGCATGATGAGGCAAACTCTACCTTGAATTTAAAAAATGTTCTATTCGAAGAAAAGTTTAAATACAATTTAAATTAAACCTAATCTATTTTTGGTAAGATATACAAGCACCTGGATTAGATAGCCACGTTATTACTAGTTGTCTCTTTGATTGTAGACTAGCTTTTGGGAACTTCATCGCCATTTTATAATGTAGATGGCCACGTTATTACTAGTTGTCACATTCTCCTGCTCTCACTCGGCCACTCCTATTCTTGGTTAGTCACTTAGTCCCACACCTCGAAAAGATTTTTTTTACTCTATAAATTGAAAAAAAAAACCAAAGTAAATGATTGAGCGAAGTGGGAAGTTGGGCGGGCGAGCCGACGTGTTCTGCTTCTTGTTCGCGAGCCAGGGTGACTTTTCCTTAACGAGCAGCTTGATGAGCGCTTGTAAACGAGCCTGATTTTGAACATGAACTGAGCTCGAGCTCGCTCTTTTTAAATGAGCTTGAGTTCAAACAAAGGTAAAAAATGCTCGATTCAAATCGAGCTCGAACAGAGATCTGGCAAACGAGCTTGAGCTCGAACAAGCTAAAGCTTGGCTTGACTCGGTTCATTTGCAGTCATAACAACAATGCCCGATGTCATCTCATCATCGACGTCTGACGTCGTTGACGTCGTTACAACGTTAACATTTCAAAACTGCTAGACCCATCCAAATTGACTTTTTTTGTTTTTCATTTGTTTCTACTTGTTTGGTTTTTTCTTTGCTAATTTTTTTTGGAAATACTGTTGAAGTTGATATAATAATCATAACCACTGAGTAAAAAGTTGATGTCACTGAAATTCATTAAAACTGCTAAGCTCATAAAAAGTCATTTAAGCTCAATTAAAACTGATTTGTACATATTTTATTTATAATTTAAAAATTTATCAAAAATTTACATTGGTGACCTAAATTTTCTTCTATTTAAAGCTTTTAGAATAAAAAATAACCAAAAGTAAAAATTAAATCACCGTGAATATTGAAACAACTGAAAAAGAAACTTCCAAGTGACCAAAACTTCGACACGAGTGTAAAAAGCTTATGGTTAAAGCAGTGAGAATTTTTTCCGATTTCTCTTATGGCTATTGTTAGTCGAGCGTAAAATTTATTATTACCACTCGAAATCAAAATTTTTTCTTACAACTATAACGTATTACATGTCAAGAATGCTAATTACTTCTCATTGTTTAACCTAACTGCTTTGCACTATATGTAACACTGTAACAGGACAAGCCCGAGCTTCCGGTGGAAGGACGTCTCCCTGATGCTACCAAAGGTATTTTTGTTTTCTCTTTTGATTTCTTAATCTTTTTACATGTATCTTAAGAGTTTTCCATTCGCGGACAGTAAAGCTGCAATTCTGACGCATTTGATGTTTCCAGATGGAAAATTGCAAAGTATTTTCATTTAATGGTTTCATTCTTTTCTTATCATCAGGTTCCGACCATCTGAGGGATGTTTTTGTCAAACAAATGGGGCTTAGTGATCAAGACATTGTTGCTCTTTCTGGTGGCCATACGCTTGTATGTTTTCACTGCCTCACATCTTATATACATCTTAGAACTATAATGAGATCTATTAATTTTAATTATCACCATTACAGGGAAGGTGTCATAAAGAGCGATCAGGATTTGAGGGTCCTTGGACTTCAAATCCTCTCATCTTTGACAATTCCTACTTCAAGTAAGTACTCTACTCTCTCTACGTTCTATTAATAAGTACTTGGATGTCAAGAAAATATAGATTATTATGGTTGTGAAACTCAGATTAAACCGAGCTGTTGAACTGGTCGGGTTGAGATGAGAACAAGTCGTCAAGATTTGGTCTGATTAAAAAAATTGATTTTGCACAAAACTTGGGACCAACCTAGGGGTGTCAAAAGTTGACAATATCCAAAACTCGACTCGGATCCGACCCGAAAAAATCTGGGTTTGGGTCAACCCATTTGGGAAACAGGTCGGGTCGGGGTTCAGATTTCTGACCCATTTAAAAAATGGGTCGGGTTCGGGTTGACCCGACAACCTGCTGATCGATCCGAATTGACCCGTTTCGTCATTCTGCATGTCAGGTCGCATTTGTGATGCCAGTCAGGTCTCGTTCGCGTTAGGTCGCAATGTCGCGTCCGCGTCAGGTCGCGTCCGCTGTCGGTCCAGGCTTCCAGCCCGCACAGCCGCCGCCGCACTCGCTACTGCTGTCGTTGCCTCTGCAGCTCCGCTACGCCAGCCTCAAGGTTCAGACTCGGTCACTCAGCGGACCCGCTCCACTTCGTTCGGCTCCGCAAATGTTCACGGGTTGGGTCGTGTCAACCCGGTATCCCGCACGGGTTGGGTCCGGTTTGACAAACCTGACCCGTTTGTAAAATCGGGTCCGGTTAGGGTCAACCCGGCTGGGTCAAGTTGGGTTAGACCCGAACTCAACCTGTTGACCGAATTGACACCCCTAGACCAACCCATTAAAATTGGTGGTTGAACCGGGCAACCCTTAAATTGGGAATTTGTTTGGGTTATTATTAATAATATTTACATAATCACGGTTAACAATTTAATATATAGTCCAATTCTAAAAGCCTTGATCATTTTTGCATACCTTTACTAGGGAGCTCTTAAGTGGTGAGAAGGAAGGCCTTCTACAGCTTCCATCTGATAAGGCTCTTTTGTCTGATCCTGCCTTCCGTCCACTTGTAGAAAAATATGCTGCTGTATGTATTCCTTCTACTAATCTCTAAAATTCTTCGTTTCATTTATATTTCTGTGTTCAAATAATTTTTTCTTCTTGGCCATTTTCACTTATGACTAGGATGAAGATGCTTTCTTCGCTGACTACGCTGAAGCTCACATGAAGCTCTCTGAGCTTGGGTGCGTAGTAATATTGAAATCATGTTGAGTTATATTGTATATAACTTTATATTTTCCTCTTTACTAACTATCAATTATTTTATGCTGTTGGATTCAGATTTGCTGATGCCTAAAAGTCTGCACGTGGGAATGTGATTGCTTTTTGCTGAGCGTGTAATTGGGAAATCTATCTCCTACTTCTGAACTTTTCAAGTAAATCATCCTTTAGATATAAGTATGTACTTCAATGAACATTGCCTATTTGCCTTCAGTTGGTCAGATCGTTCGCTTGGCTAGAAAATTTTTTTCTTGCCCTAGAATTTCGATTGGATTCAGATCAATTGTTTGGAATGTTTTGGTATCATTTTGTATTGATTGTTATGTTTGAAGAGTATCTTTATTGTCTTATGATGATAAACTCATCAGAAAGATAAACTCACACAAATGTGTTAATGAAGATAAACTCACACAAATCGAAATTGATAGTCAAAACTTTTAATTAGTTGAGATCAAGGAGAGTTATGTAATAAGTGAAGAAGCTTTAACTTAAGCTTAATTAGAGTAGCAAATGAGCCAAAAGATAAGCCAAGTAAAAACATTATTTAGCTCAAGCTCGAGCTTGTTTGGTAAATCTTATTTGATATTGAGCTTGAGCTTGATTTAAATACTAATAGTAGCATTCAAGCCCAATTTTCTTAAAATTATGTGCTTGAGTTTTGTTTGAGCTTGGCTTATTTAATCATATGAGCTTTATTCAGTTTATTATCAAGTAATATTGATAAGTTGATTGTCAAGTTTAATGAAGTCTATTGAGCTGTAAAATAAGACTTTTAATAAATAAATATTTGATGTTTGAGCAACACCCATCTATATTCACTCAATTTGAGCATTTTTAGCATATACTATATAATTATTATATTTTGATTTTGTTGCATCTTAAGGTATTAGTAGTCATTGGTACAGGCACCACCTCTTTCCTAGTGGTGGTAGTTCTGCATTTACTTAAAAAAAAAATAAATTTTCTAGCATTGATTTATATATAAGGTTTTTAGGACAAAGGGATGGAAAATGCATTGTGTTGAGTGTTTGTGCATTTTCTCTTTTGTTTTGGCCAGGGATGTAACAATTAGACTCATGAGATAGCTTGAGTTTGGTTTGATGTGTTAAGGAGTCAAATTTGAATAAGTTTTGATTTGACTCATCAACTTATCAGTCAGTTTATTTAAAAAATATTTATGTATAATATATTTAAAATATATTATGTATTATAATTCAAGAGTTCAAAATTATTAAAAATATTTAAGAATAATATCTTAATTTTTATAAATTGGGGATTAGTTGTATTTAGATTTTTTATTATTCATCATTTGATTTTCCCTTCTTTTATAAATGTTATTATAATTTTATTTGAATTATATTTTTTCCTTTTTCATAATCAATGAGCTGATATATAATCCAATTAAAATTTTTAGAATTATACTTGAGCACAAATTTGAATTTAATTATTTAATCAAGCTTTATTTTGGGGACATTTAAGCTTAAATTTGACCTTCCCTTCCTTCAATGGTCATGCAAATTGAAAAGTGTTTGGATTGGATTAAATCTGTTGATTTCTTGATTCGGAAAAGATAAGCTTGTGAAGTTGGTGGCTTATTGGAGAGGTAGCTTGGTAGGAGTTACAATCCTTGCTGACATGAAGGTTGGATTCATATCCAATAATTTGCCTGTTGAATGTCTTTTGCTCACCAAGGCTCGATACGCAACTCAGTGCTACTCTATATTTCAATTTCTTTGTACAATTCACCACAATATTTTATATGGCAATCAATAGTTATGATATCTAAAGCCTTTTTCGCCATCCTTAATTTGTTGATAAAAGATCATCAACGAACCTACAAGATTGGGTCTATCGAGAAAGGCAAATAAACTGAAGTCACTAAATTATGCAAAGTACCAATAACTATTGTGATAGCCTAAATAAAAATTGCAACACCTTGCTGATGAGGGAGCTGCCAAAATAGAAGAGCTTGAACAATCCCTGGCAAATATGTAGATTTTATGCTTGCTGAAGGGGATGATGGAGATCTAGTAATTTGCATATTGAATGTCCTTTGCTCACCAAGATTATATACTCAACTTAGAGCTACTCCATCTTTCAAATTTATTGCACCATTCACTAAAGGTTTATATGGTGATAATTTTTTTTTTTTTTTTTTTAGAAAATGCAAAGTTGCATTAGAAATTAAAAGAAACAACCTAATACAAACTAGAAAATAAAATAAACTAAAAGATCCTTGATCAAGAGAAAAAGGATCCTTATTGAAAGCATTTTGTTATTATTAAACCTATTAATTTGAAATGGAACCCACTGTTTCCTATTTTGAAACCGTTGAGATGCAGAGGATACCAATAATTTGAAACAACCCGAGGGTTGGTTAGTATTCCAGAGTTCCCATCCGGTTAAAGAATAGGATCTAGTAACGATCCCATAAACAAATATAGTAAGTTTAAATTATAAACATGCAAAAATAAGAAAAAAACAACTAATAAAGAAAATAAAATTACAAAAAAGATAAGACAATCTAAAATCACCTATGAAAAACAAGTGTAGGTATTTAAGATGTCTTTTCCAAATATCCATTATGTAATACCAAGCAATAAAAATGGAAAATTCTTTGATTAGAATTTCCAATTTAATGTCTCTTCTGGCTTTGTAGGTTGCACTGAAATTTTTGGGTCTCATAAACCTTGAAATGTTTGAGAAGAACATTTCAAATCGTTCTTCTCCTTATGATCAGTAATCCTTCTTCTATTTTGTTCTTTCACCGGTCCTAGCTCTTTTAGTTCTTTGAATAGCTTGTGTTTAGAGCCGGAAGAAACTAGCTCTAACGAAGAACCTTTCTTATTTTTTACTAAAACAGTTTTTTTGAACTTCAAATTGATTGTGGAAGAAGGAGAGATGGTATTAGAAAGGCCATCTCTTATTGTATTATTATCAGCAATAATACCTGAATTCTTTACAGCCTTAGAAGGAGTAAAACCCGTCTTCTCTTCCTCTAACATTTCCTCAACAGCCTCCAATGTTTGTGGGATTTGAAATTCCAAATTTCCCTCTATGCCCGATTGAATAACTGCAGTTTGTTCGTCTGAACTTGTTGGAGTAAAATCCAGCTTCAGCTCCTTAACTACCTTATCTGCCTCCATGATTTGTGGGAATTCAAAATTTGATTTTTGAAATTCCAAAATTTTAGGCAAGTTGTGTTGAACATCGGTAGACTCTAACACAACAGCAGGAATCATCAAATCAACTTCAGAATTTACATCTCTAATTTCAGTATTCAATGAATCTGATTGGTTGTATTCAAAATTTGTAATTTGAGCTATTTCGGCTCAACCAACATATTTGAATTTATGCTAAATGCAACTTCATCTCCTTCTTTGATTTCAACAGTTTTTCCTTTTGTATTTTGTACTGTCTTCAATGGCCGGTGATCTGAATTCCGACGAGCTGGTTGAAATTCTGCTCCTTGATTTGAATGATAATTCCTCTTAATACTTTTTGTCTTTCTATGAGGTTTGAATTTGACGTGCATCCAAGGACCGTAAGATCTATCCTCAACTAATGAATTTTCTTTGTGAACTTCCTTTTCATTTAAATCAAGATTTTGAAAAACCTTTGGACATACCACATCTTTATGTCCAATTCTTCCACTTTTGAAACAAGTTGAAGATAAATTCTCAAATTCAAATTTCTGATAAAATTTGCCATGAATTCCTTCAACAAAAATACCACTAGGGAGTTTCGAGTTCAATTTAACCCGGATCAAAACCGGCAAGGTTGAGCAAGACTTACTTTTCAAATCCACCAAAATTTCTTTTCCTTTATCATTCTCCATCAAAGATGTTTTCTTAGAAGCACACCCTCCCTCTCTAATCACTAGAGGAGATTTAAAAAAACTAGGAAAGCTACGATTGAATGTAAAACTACCTTTTGTATCCAACAAAGTTGGACGCGCAGTAGATCTAAGGGAATTGGTGTTCCGGTCATTCAAGGATGACCGGCCACCATCCTCCATTTACAAAGAATGCAGTCGAAAATCTCCTTCCAAATCCTTAATTTGTGGATCATTAATGAGCTTTAGAGTTCTTCATATTCTCAATATATGGTGATAATTGATGGCTAGTTATGATAACAAAGTTTCTAAAGCCTTCTTCACTGCTAAAGGTAATCAATTATGGGATTTTCAAATTCATTAATGATATCTATCCAAATGTAATAAATTCTGCATACCGAAAGCCTATTTGTGAGAATTCATAATTTGTCATTTACATGTTGACAACCTTATTGCTTAGATGGAGCGTAACAAATTTATAACATATATTTCTCGCTCAATCGAACCCAGGAGATCGGAGCTCTCTCCAACGCCTTTGTTTGCGAACTCCAAGAAGAACCTGATGTTAACTCCCTTCGTCGACCTACTGCTATAATCTCCGGCCCGCCCTCTCACTCCGCAAAGAAGACATCATCTCTTTGGAGAAGATAGGAAGCACAGATATCAGGCGTTCGCACATCGGGATGGAACCTGACGCTGGCCATCTCTTTGCTGTTGCATGGACATTCCATAGTAGCTTGCGATGCCGAAGTTCTTGCTCCCCCTATTCGCGACTTGCCCTAGCCGACTCGTGCTTGATCTATACACAGAGTTCGTTGCCTACTCCATTCTTGACGAAGATGTATCAGCTCGTTCACTTCATGGGGACCCCACAATACTTAGCCAGTTCCGCTAGGGCTTCGCCCGAGCTTCTCCTCAGGTGCATTTTTGGGATTTCTGCCGCTTATTCTTTTGCTGCATCTTGCTGGAGGTTTCAGGGGAGTTCCCTTCTCCTTTTGCTGGTTGTTTCTTATTTTCCTTTCTTTTTGGTTTGGTTGCCTCGTCTCTTCCACGTCCGGCCGTTCACAGTTGGAATGACGGTTAAATGTGTTAGTGATCCCAATTTTTTGAATGGGTCTTTTAAATCTCGATCATTTATTGATGCCCTTTCTGGTTCGCCGCCTTGTGTTTTTTTCCTGAGCTCCAGCATTATTCTTTCCGTGTTTTTCCCTCTTTGTGGATATCAGAGGAAGAAATTTTGGCTCTCAGTTCCTTTTAAATTTGCTATGATTGGATTTTTTCCTACGCGTCGCCCTTCTCTGGATGTAATTCACAGATGTTTTTTCAATTTGAAGCTGAATGCTGATTTCTTTGTGTCTGTTCTTGATCAGTCGCACGTTCTGATTAAGCTTTCTAATGATCTTGATTATAGTAGAGTTTTTTTGCCATAGATCCTATGTGGTGTATAATTGCTACTTGAAACTCACAAAATGGTCCCCGTTTCTAAATGTCGGTGTTGAATCTCCGGTGATTCCT